CCGTTCTTCTGTTTCCGCCATCTGCTTCTCTGGATCTGGAACTCAACAAAAAAGCTCCTGTTTTGTAGCAGGTTTCCTATGAGTCAGGTGCAATGGTCGTCCTTTGTGATATTATACATTTTTCTCAGGAGGAGGCGGTGGTTCACAGTCTCATAAGCCGCTGACAGGTCTATGAAGACAACTCCTGTGATCTGCTGCTTTTCAAAGCCATCTTCTATGTGCTGAGTCAGGTTCAGCACTTGCGATGTGCAGCTTTTGCCTTTTCTGAAGCCAGCCTGCTGTGGGATCAGACAGGGGTCTATATTTTTGGATCATTACGGTCTTTGCCTGGCTTCAAGATGGCGATGACTCTTGCTTTCCTCCAGATTTTGGGGATCTGACAGGATGCAGTGCAGGTGTTCATCAGCTCCAGTAGGCAGCACTTTGCTTTTGGGCCAAAGTTCTTGATTTGTTCCATCCGTAGATCATCCAGGCCAGCTGCTTTGCCATTCTTACATTTATTGAGAGCCATGTCCAATTCAATAGATGTAAAGGGTTCATGAAGGTTGTTGTTCTCCATCTCTGGTTGTCTGGCTATTGGTTTCTTTCCTACTTTGGTGGCAAGGTTGGGTTTCCCGTTCTTCAAGAGTTGGTGACCTACGGGCTGAGAAAGGCGGTATACAAATGCAGTAAATAAATAGATAAATATTTGTATCCCGCCTTTCTCAATCCCAAAGGGGACTCAAGGCGGCCTCACAAAGGCAATAATTCAGTGCCGCATAGACACATGCATTAAAGAATCAACGAAAACATTAAAACAAAGCAATAACAACATAACATTAAGACAACAATTAAAATCACGTAAGTAGCCACTCTAAAGCATTGTCAGCTTTATGCCTACAAGCCGCAGGTTGCAGTTCCACGCCTTTTTCAACCACTGACCATGACGCGCCAAGATGCTTCCCAGCTGGTTACACAAGGCGGCCTCTTCCTTCAGGTCTCCCTTCCGCTGGGCTTTCTCCTTGTCCTTTTGCAGCTCTGGAGGAAAGGCAAACAGAAAGAAGAGCAGGGTCTTTAATGGGATAGAGCAGCCCCGGGCCAACTTGGGCCCTCCCTCCAGGTGTTTTGGACTTCAACTCCCACAATTCCAGTTCCCAGTATCCTCGCAAGCCAGCTATTCTCAATACTTACAACACTCCAAGATAAAAACGTTACTTTTTGGGACTACAACTCCCAGGATGCTTCCCAGCCAGGTCTCTCAACATCTACAGTTGGGAAAGTCACTTTTTTGGAACTGTAATTCCCATCATCTCTCTCAACTAGTTGCATCAGCACCCAAAGCTTGGGAAAGTTACTCTTTTGGGGACTATAGCTCCCAGCATCCTTCCCAGCCAGCTCTTTCAATATCCAAACATGGGAAATATACTTTTTTACAACTACAATTCCCAGAATCCTTCCCAATTAGCTCTTTCAAGACCTACAGCTCGGGAAAGTTACTTTTTTGGAACTGAAATTCCCATCATCCCTCTCAACTAGTTGCATCACCTTCCCAATGAGCTCTTTCAATCTTTACAGCTTGGGAAAGTACCTTTTTTGGAACGGAAATTCCCAACATCCCTCTAAACCAGTTGCCTTAGCATCTAAAGCTTGGGAAAGTTACTTTTTTGGGGACTACAGCTCCCAGTATCCTTCTCAGTCAGCTCTTTCAACATCCGAACATGGAAAAGTTACGTTTTTGGAACTACAGTTCCCAACATCCCTCTAAACCAGTTGCCTTAGCATCTAAAGCTTGGGAAAGTTACTTTTTGGGGGACTACAGCACCCAGCACCCTTTCCAGCCACCTCTTTCAACATCCAAACATGGGAAATATACTTTTTTGGAACCACAATTCCCAGAATCCTTCCCAATCAGTTCTTTCAACATCTAGAGCTTGGGAAAGTTACTTTTTGGAACTGCAATTCTCAATCAGCTCTTTCAACATCCAAACATGGAAAAATTACATTTTTGGAACTACGGTTCCTAACATCCCTCTAAACCAGTTGCCTTAGCATCTAAATCTTGGGAAAGTTACTTTTTTTGGGGGATTATAGTACTTAGCATCCTTCCCAGCCAGCTCTTTCAAAATCCAAACATGGGAAATATACTTTTTTAGAACTACAATTCCTAGAATCCTTCCCAATCAGCTCTTTCAACATCTACAGCTTGGGAAAGTTACTTTTTTGGAACTGCAATTCCCAAAATCCTTCCCAATCAGCTCTTTCAACCTTTAGAGCTTGGGAAAGTTACTTTTTTTGGAATTACAATTCCCAACATCCCTCTAAACCAGTTGCCTTAGCATCTAAAACTTGGGAAATCTACTTTTTGGGGAACTACACCTCTTTCAGCATCCAAACATGGGAAATATACTTTTTTGGAACTACAATTCCCAGCATCCTTCCCAATCAGCTCTTTCAACATCTACAGCTTGGGAAAGTTACTTTTTTGGAACTACAATTCCCAGAATCCTTCCCAATCAGCTTTCAACATCCAAACATGGGAAAGTTACATTTTTGGAACTACGGTTCCTAACACCCCTCTGAACCAGTTGCCTTAGCATCTAAATCTTGGGAAAGTTACTTTTGGGGGGACTACAGCACCCAGCACCCTTTCCAGCCACCTCTTTCAACATCCAAACATGGGAAATATACTTTTTTGGAACCACAATTCCCAGAATCCTTCCCAATCAGTTCTTTCAACATCTAGAGCTTGGGAAAGTTACTTTTTGGAACTGCAATTCTCAATCAGCTCTTTCAACATCCAAACATGGAAAAGTTACATTTTTGGAACTACAGTTCCCAACATCCCTCTAAACCAATTGCCTTAGCATCTAAATCTTGGGAAAGTTACTTTTTGGGGGGATTATAGTACTTAGCATCCTTCCCAGCCAGCTCTTTCAAAATCCAAACATGGGAAATATACTACAATTCCCAGAATCCTTCCCAATCAGCTCTTTCAACATCTACAGCTTGGGAAAGTTACTTTTTTGGGAACTACAGCACCCAGCATCCTTCCCAGTCATCTCTTTCAACATCCAAACATGGGAAATATACTTTTTTGGAACTACAGTTCCCAGCATCCTTCCCAATCAGCTCTTTCAACATCTACAGCTTGGGAAAGTTACTTTTTTTGGAACTACAATTCCCAACATCCCTCTAAACCAGTTGCCTTAGCATCTAAAACTTGGGAAAGTTACTTTTTGGGGGGACTACAGCACCCAGCATCCTTCCCAGCCAGCTCTTTCAACATCCAAACATGGGAAATACACTTTTTTGGAACTATAATTCCCAGCATCATTCCCAATCAGTTATTTCAACATCTAGTGCTTAGAAAAGTTACTTTTTTGGATCTACAATTCCCAACATCCCTCTAAACCAGTTGCCTTAGCATCTAAAACTTGGGAAAGCTACTTTTTGGGGGACTACAGCTCCCAGCATCCTTCCCAGCCAGCTCTTTCAACATCCAAACATGGGGAAGTTACGTTTTTGGTACTACAATTCCCAGAATCCTTCCCAATCAGCTCTTTCAACATCTACAGCTTGGGAAAGTTACTTCTTTTGGAACTACAATTCCCAACATCCCTCTAAACCAGTTGCCTTAGCATCTAAAGCTTGGGAAAGTTACTTTTTGAGGACTACAGCTCCCAAAAGTTACATTTTTGGAACTACAATTCCCAACATCCCTCCAAACCAGTTGCCTTAGCATCTAAAACTTGGGAAAGCTACTTTTGGGGGACTACAGCTCCCCAAATCCCCCCTGAATGGTTCTAACTAGGCCTCAGAGCCTGGGAAAGGGAAAAGTTCCTTTTCGGGGACATTTCCCAGAATCGCGTAGCCTGAGGGGAATAATGGGAGTTGCAGTCCAAAATGAGGCGGGTCCCCTTCCCTGGATCCCTCCACACTCACGGCGGATCTCCCGCTCCCGCGCGCCGCCCATCCCGCCTGGCTCTGAGGCCTCCTCAGCTCCGGAAATCTCCCGCTCGCAAAGCACGTCGCTGATTGGCCGGCGGGGAACGCGGAACTCGCCTTCCCATTGGCCCTCAGCCTTGGCGAGCCCTCATTGGCTAGTATTCCACCAATCGGAAGAACGCAGCCGTGGCTTCACCTGTATTGGTCTTTTTCCTACGTAGCCACGCCCCTCGAATTGGCGGACGTATTGCTCATTGGATGAATCTTCAACCAATCGGGAGAGTTTCTGTATGGCTCCGCCCCCGCTTGTTGAAGTGCCTCATTGGCTATGCGGGAAGGCGCAGAGCTGTCAACTGGGTCCTAACGCCGAAGGGTTTACTTGGTCCCTGAGCCTGTATCTTCTATATTATTACTAGGCTTGGGCAATCCATGGTTCTAAATGGTTCCAAAGTACTTACAAAACTAAAGTTCTGGTGGTGAAAATTTCAGAACTCTAACAAAACTCTCAAAATTTCATAATAAATGGCAGTTCCTAATTGGTTCTGTCATTAAAATCACCAATAATGAAATAATAATTAAATTTTGAAAGTTTTGTTAGAGTTCTGAAATTTTCACCACCAGAACTTTAGTTTTGTAAGTACTTTAGAACCATTTAGAACCATGGATTGCCCAAGCCTAATTATTATTACTACTAATATTATTATTTCTATTATTATGATTACTAAATTAATATATTATCAATATATTATTATATGGATTTAAAATAATACAAAAGTCAAAAGATAAATATAAATATATTGCTTTGTGCTAATATATATCTTATATTATTATTTAGACTATTTGTTTTATTGCTATTATTGTTACTAATTTAATATATTATTTATAAATTATTATATTAATTTAAAATAATACAAAAGTCAAAATATTACTTTGTACTAATAGTGTTTTTTGGAAGGGGCATATCTTATATATTATTATTACTATTAGTTTTATTGCTATTATCCTTACTAATATAATATAATATTAATAAATTATATTAATTTAAAATAATACCAGAGTCAAAAGATAAATATAAATATATTGCTTTGTACTAATAGTGTTTTTGGAAGGGGGATATCTTATATATTATTTTTACTATTTGTTTTATTGCTATTATTTTTACCAAACTAATATATTATTAATACATTATTATATTTTGTTTGTTTGTTTGTTTTGTTTTGTTTTGTTAGAAATGTAATACAATGGTATGGTTGCTGATGACACGATAAATAAATATTAATTTAAAACAATACAAAAGTAAAAATATAAATATATTGCTTTTTGGAAGGGGGATATCTTATATATTATTATTACAATTTGTTTTATTGCTATGTTACTAATTTAATATATTATTAATAAACTATTATATTAATTAAAAATAATACAAAAGTCTAAATATTGCTTTGTACTAATAGTGTTTTTGGAAGGGGGATATCTTATATAGTATTATTATTACTCTTAGTTTTATTGCTATTATTCTTACTAATTTAATATAATATTAATAAATAATTATATTAATTTAAAATAATACCAAAGTCAAAATATAAATATATTGCTTTGTACTAATAGTGTTTTTTGGAAGGGGGATATCTTATATATTATTATTATTACTATTACTTTTATTGCTATTATTGTTACCAAATTAATATATTATTTATAAATTATTATATTAATTAAAAATAATACAAAAGTCTAAATATTGCTTTGTACTAATAGTGTTTTTGGAAGGGGGATCTCTTATATATTTTATTACTATTAGTTTTATTGCTATTATTGTTACCAAATTAATATATTATTTATAAATTATGATATTAATTTAAAATACAAAAGTCAAAATATCTTATATATTATTATTACTATACGTTTCATTGCTATTATTGTTACCAAATTAATATGTTATTAATAAATTATATTAATTTAAAATAATACAAAAGTCTAAATATTGCTTTGTACTAATAGTGTTTTTGGAAGGGGGATATCTTATATATTTTATTACTATTAGTTTTATTGCTATTATTGTTACTAAATTAATATATTATCAATACATTATTATATGGATTTAAAATAATACAAAAGTCAAAAGATAAACATAAATATATTGCTTTGTACTAATATATATCTTATATTATTATTTAGACTATTTGTTTTATTGCTATTATTGTTACCAAATAAATATATTATTAATAAATTATTATATTTAAAATAATACAAAAGTTAAAATATTGCTTTGTACTAATAGTGTTTTTTGGAAGGGGCATATCTTATATATTATTATTACTATTAGTTTTATTGCTATTATCGTTACCAAATAAATATATTATTTATAAATTATGATATTAATTTAAAATAATACAAAAGTTAAAATATTGCTTTGTACTAATAGTGTTTTTTGGAAGGGGCATATCTTATATATTATTATTACTATTCCTTTTATTGCTATTATTGTTATCAATTTAATATATTATTAATAAATTATTATATTAATTTAAAATAATACCAGAGTCAAAAGATAAATATATTGCTTTTTGGAAGGGGGATATCTTATACATTATTATTACTATTCGTTTCATTGCTATTATTCTTACTAATTTAATATAATATTAATAAATTATTATATTAATTTAAAATAATACCAGAGTCAAAAGATAAATATAAATGTATTGCTTTGTACCAATAGTGTTTTTTGGAAGGGGAATATTATTATTACTATTAGTTTTATTGCTATTATTGTTACTAATTTAATATGTTATTAATAAATTATATTAATTTAAAATAATACAAAAGTCTAAATATTGCTTTGTACTAATACTGTTTTTGGAAGGGGGATATCTTATATATTATTACTATTCATTTTATTGCTATTATTGTTACTAATTTAATATAACATTAATAAATTATTATATTAATTTAAAACAATACCAGAGTCAAAAGATAAATATAAATATATTGCCTTGAACTAATAGTGCTTTTTGGAAGGGGGATTTCTTAAATATTATTATTACTATTTATTTTATTGCTATTATTGTTACTAAATTATTATATTATTAATAAATTATTATATTAATTTAAAATGATACAAAAGTCACTATAAAAAGATATATATTACTTTGCATTGATTTTGTTTTATGGAGGAGAGAGATTTGCTTATATGTCCTGATTTGTTTTGCAATGGTACAGTTTTGTACTCTAGAGTTCTATAAGCTGTGATTCTTCCTTTATTCTGTACTAGCCATCCCCTGCCACACGTTGCTGTGGCCCAGTCTGTACATATGTGTTTTCATAGAATCATAGAATCAAAGAGTTGGAAGAGACCTCATGGGCCGTCCAGTCCAACCCCATTCTGCCAAGAAGCAGGAATGTTGTTGTTCATTCGTTCAGTCGTCTCCGACTCTTTGTGACCTCATGGACCAGCCCACGCCAGAGCTCCCTGTCGGCCGTCACCACCCCCAGCTCCTTCAAGGTCAGTCCAGTCGCTTCAAGGATGCCATCCATCCATCTTGCCCTTGGTCGGCCCCTCTTCCTTTTGCCTTCCACTTTCCCCAGCATCATTCCCTTCTCTAGGCTTTACTGTCTCCTCATGATGTGGCATTCAAAGGACTTCAACTTTGTCTCTAGTATCCTTCCCTCCAATGAGCAGTCGGGCTTTATTTCCTGGAGGATTGCATTCAATTCACCCCTGACAGATGGCCATCCAGCCTCTGCTTAAAAGCTTCCAAAGAAGGAGCCTCCACCACACTCCGGGGCAGAGAGTTCCACTGCTGAATGGCTCTCACAGTCAGGAAGTTCTTCCTCGTGTTCAGATGGAATCTCCTCTCTTGTAGTTTGAAGCCATTCTTCCATTGCGTCCTAGTCTCCAAGGAAGCAGAAAACAAGCTTGCTCCCTCCTCCCTGTGGCTTCCTCTCACATATTTATACATGGCTATCATATCTCCTCTCAGCCTTCTCTTCTTCAGGCTAAACATGCCCAGCTCCTTAAGCCGCTCCTCATAGGGCTTGTTCTCCAGACCCTTGATCATTTTAGTCACCCTCCTCTGGACACATTCCAGCTTGTCAATATCTCTCTTGAATTGTGGTGCCCAGAATTGGACACAATATTCCAGGTGTGGTCTAACCAAAGAGGAATAGAGGGGTAGCATGACTTCCCTAGATCTAGACACTAGGCTCCTATTAATGCAGGTTTTGTGTATATATATATGTGTGTGTATATATGTGTGTGGGTGTATATATGTGTATGCAGGTGTGTATATATTTGTGGGTTTATATGTGTATATGTATATTGTGTATACGTGTATGCTTGTCTATATGCATATTTGTGTGTATATATGTATGTGTACATTTGTGTGCATGTGTATATGTATATATGTGTGTATGTATGTGTGCATGTGTATATTTGTGTGTGTTAATGTGTATATGTATATATTTCCATCTGAACATTAGGATTCCACCTGAACATGAGGAAGAACTTCCTGACTGTGAGAGCCGTTCAGCAGTGGAACTCTCTGCCCCAGAGTGTGGTGAAGGCTCCTTTGGAAGCTTTTAAACAGAGGCTGGATGGCCATCTGTCAGGAGTGCTTTGAATGCAATATTCCTGCTTCTTGGCAGAATGGGGTTGGACTGGATGGCCCATGAGGTCTCTTCCAATTCTAGGATTCTATTATTCTATGACCCTTCTCCGGACACTTTCCATCTTGATCCATCTACTTCTTGAATAGCTTTGCCCAGGTTATCATTCCAGGTGAGGTCTGGCCAAATAAGAATCATAGAATCAAAGAGTTGGAAGAGACCTCATGGGCCATCCAGTCCAACCCCCTGCCAAGGAGCAGGAATATTGCATTCAAATATTGCATGCCAAGAGAATGGGACTATTATATCCCTGCATCTAGGAGCGTGAGGAGGCCGACTACATCTGCCAGCTGAAGGTCCAGGCAAAGCTAGGTGCAGAAGAAGACCTTCAAGACCTGGTACCTCTCAAAAGATGCAGTTTAGAATCTGGCTTTCTTACAGGGAGCGGTCAATCCTCCTGTTTAAGGAGCTCCAC